TATCTCACATACACATGCAATTTTTGGTCATTCCACCATGAACAATTTGACTTAATTATATTCAGCATGCTTCAATCTATTTCGACGATTAAGCTATCATCTTCCTGCACATATCCAGAAGAATTGAGTCTTATAAAAAGCACGAAAAGCTAGGTTTCATGTTCTAAATGATGTGAGTTTTTGCACTGTGCAGTCCTGATAAATATAGAAATGATTTCGTAGCACAAGAATACCAAACTGCCAGGACAGCTGGTGTGAGGATTCCATATAACCAGGATGCTCTCGCACGCTGGGCGAAGCTGTACCAGGTTCACTGATTCTGGTATTATCCATTCTTCCAGCTAGTACCCGCTGCCTTGTATATGTGTGGTGCAAACTAAAAAATTGACAAAAAAATTTTACAAAATCATTTTTTATGCATCAGGTCAGTGTTACTAGTGAACATTTACAGGGGCATGTATATTTTAAAATTTCTGAACAGCAGTAAATGTAGAGAAGATCAGTTGCGGTAAAAGACAGACAAATACATACATATATAAGTGGAAGGAAAAAAAAAGACGAGCAGTTAGTTTCGGTTTGCTTGTTCAGTTCTTGTTCCAATGGTAGCAACTGATGTTGAAGGGTATTCATCTTGGCTTGCTGGACGAAAAAAAAGTACGCACAACGATGAACGGTAACTCTAGGACGTTTGCGAAAGTTGAATTATGAAAAAAACAGAGTATTTGTGGATCTATTGGCCAAATTGTAGGAAAATGAAATTTACAATTGCTCTCACGGAAATGGCAAGAAGCTGGAATGAATCTCTCAGGAATTTATATATTTTTTACAAAAACAGAATAACTGGTACCAGCAATTCCGAGTAAAACGAACTACTAGCTTAGCTAAACAAAGATTGAGGCTAAAATTGTAATTCAGGGTAAAACAGCGAAGAACCTCGGGATTTTAAAAGAGCCAAGTTGTATGAATTTCCAACTTGTTATAGCTTTGAATCCAACAGCTTTAATATAAGCAGTTCAGAAATCAATCAGCAAACTAGGCGCTGACTCATATCCAACATCATCCCTTTGTACTCAATCTTCGAAATTTTGGCAGTAACACGTACAAAAAATTCATAAAACTAAACGATGGGAAGATGGAAGGCAATAATAAGAAAGTGAAACATAATTTGACGGCGTCAAAACAACCAGCACAATGTATTTCCAAAAAACACAATATTTATCCAGACGGGAAAAGATGCCCTGCCAACGACGGCTTAAGGGAAGGTAATTCACGCGAAAATTTAAAAAAAAAAAACCCAAAAAACAGAAGTGCAAAAAATGCGTTTTGCAGTGACCAAATGTTCAGTGACCTTCTCACCCAGTGAAAAAAAGCTTACATCACAAAATTAACAACAATTCGAAACAATATTTTTGTGGGAAAAATATGAAGCGCCGTCCCAAAAAATTCGTAAAAAAAAACAGGGGAGCGAAGTTGAGAAAAGAATAATTCTTCTGCAAGCAAGAAGAAGTATGTCTCAAGAGAAATGAAATGATTTTTTGGGCTTCTGCCCTGCATTTATCCCCGCTGATGAAAAGGAAGTTTAAAATCAATTGTGCCCCCTCCCCCCTCCCCACAATAGACACGATTTCCAGCACTCGCTCTTCTCTTTGATTAGCTTCGCTTCATCACATTCTCACACCAATTTAGACTTTTAAAAGTTCTGCACTTTTTTTT